CAAAACAAAAAAACAAACAAACTACAACATCTGCTCTGGAGCTGCTGACTTCCCCCGGAAGGAGTAACCCAGGGGATGCCCTACTTCCAATCTCTGGGCATCATGACGGGCCAAAGCTACCAGGGCTCTGGAAGCGGAGCTTGGCATCTCCCATCTCCGTGGCAGGGCGTGCCCCAGCCCTCGCCTGGGCAAGAAGAGAAGAATATATGTCGGTATGCTTCATATATTGTCGGTATGCTTCCCCTCCAGCACACGGGCTCCTTATTCCTCCGGCCTCCCTCACAGCGTCGCTCCACACCTGCCGAGGCCCGAGTTACTGGTAACATTCACTAAACATTTTATGAGACATCCACCTTAACGACTTCCAGCAAAATTGTGGGGGGCGCTGGCTTCCCCGCCCCCGCTCCAGGGCCGCTCGCTGCCTCACTGCCAATTCCAGGCCAACAGTTCCATTTCCGCTTTGCTACGTTCGGCATAAACGTTTCTTGCAACCCATAAACACCTTGGCCATTTTACCAGTGCCATGAAAGATGTTTATGACCCAAATATGAAAACTTGGTGAGAATTAACACTTAGGCAAACAGGCTGTGTTATTCTTGGACAGAAATAGCTTCCAAAGGCAGCCCAAAGCAGCCGGGGCCCTGTGTGCAAATATGTATGTGCTGGCATACTTATGTTTAAACCCTGAAGACAGCCGCGCTGCAAACCCTGCCCTGTCGCGTAGTAACAGGGTGGCCCTGCGGTTTTTAATGGTTATCAGCTTCCTGTTTGGGTGTTTTTATAGCATTATTATGTTGCAGAGTGAATGAGGCAAAATAAAATACGAAAAGATGTCGGGCCGCAGGTTAATAAAAATCCATTTTGTCACTCGACAGCCTCCCCCCGAGCAGCTTCCTTTTCCAAGACCCTCTGAGTCTCTTTGTATTGACAGATGCCATTTGCTCATTTACGATGTGATAATAAAAACCTTCAGCCTTGTTCAATGTTAGCCTTTTCCTCCCCTGACAGGAGGGAACCAAATGGCTTGTCCTCCCCTCGGCAGGCATTTTTTCATTAAAGATGAGAACTTTACTACGGTGGGCAGCGTTTAAAAGCCATTTCAGAAAAGCAGCAGAACCGGGTCGGGGGAAAAACGATCTACTCAAACATACTAATTGCTCAGATGGACTCAGAAATAGTTATATTTGTCCAGCAGACCAGCTTTTATGCAATTAAAGAATCACAAATAAGCGTGGATGAACCCTTGAACAAGAATCAGACTGAAAAACAAAGTGCAAGAGTCACGTGCAGCAAATATCAAACATAAAAGTGCCCTGCAGTTTTTCTTTTCTTTTTTTTTTTTTTTGGCTTTTTGAGACAGGGTCTCGCTATGCAGTTCAGGCTGGCTTTGAGCTCACTTTGTAGCCCAGGCTGGTTTTGCACTCACAAGGATCCTCCTGCCTCAGCCTCCTGAGTGCTGGGATTACAGTCATGCGCCATCATGCCCAGCCCCTGCAGTTTTTCAATTGTGTTGTTTGTGTAAAACAAGATATTTAAGCACTGGTTGCCTGATATCAACTTTTAATCCATCTCATGGTATTTTATAGAAAGTATTTCCTTTAATTTTCTGTTACTATTCGTACTTGGTATTTAACTCTGAAGATAATTGAAAATGCAGTCTGAAGGTTTCATAGCTTTCTTTTCCACAAAGTTGCTTTTTATAAAGCATTACTGACACCAATCAGTTTCAAAATTCAAGGTATTTAGCCAGCAAAGCCAGATAGCTCTTTTTTAAAACATCTATTATTGGTGCCGTTTATTCTCTAGTTCAAAACAGATTAATTATAATCACTAATTTCAAACAATTTTATAAACAAAACCATTCCATTCCCATATACTTTATATATTGTCAGTAGATTATTGATGTCTCCAGATGTTTGGAAAGGACACAGGTTGCTGTGTTTTAACATGAGCTCAAGAACCTGTACAGAAATATTTTTACAGACCGCTGCTTTGTGTCCTTCCTGAAACGTTCTATATACAAATAAACCAAAGCACGTGTAGCGGTGCATTTCTATAATCCCAGCACTCTGGGAGGCTGACACAAAGGATCGTAAGTTTGAGCCCAGCCTGGGCAATTTAGTGATATAGCAAAACCCTATCTCAAAATTTTAAAAAGTTTTAAAAGCAGACTGAAGACGTTACTCAGTGCAAAGGCCCCGGTTTCAATCCCCACTACTACAAAAACAAAAGCAAAACAAAAAACCTAAGTATGAAATACAGGGCACATTCTTGGTCGAAAAGCACAAATGTGATTGACCACATTCTACAAATTCCGTCCTATGTTAGTTTTTTAAGTGAACTATAAAGATAAATATTTCAGGGCTGGGGATTTAGCTCAGCGGCAAAGCGCCTGCCTGGCAAGCGCAAGGTCGTGAGTTCAGTTCCCGGTACCGGACAAAAACAAAACAAAAAAAAAAAAGAAAAACATTTCAGTACATAGAGGTCAACTTTGGCCTTTTCAAAAACTGAATTCATTTCTAATATTTGGTCACAGTCGTTTACTAAAGGATGCTAAGATCACCCCTAACTTCCTGGGGTTCTCATCCTTGTTCTGAACCCCGTTCGAGCGCTAATCCGCGTAACTCTCGACACCAGTCAGTACTTGGACACTCTTGTTCTCCGCTTGAGGAAATCAATGAACTCAGAAGTGAGAGGCTGTGAAATACTGTCATTAACAACCACCCGCTTCATGGACAGGCTGTTTCCAGCTTTTGTCACCATCGGTGCCGTGCTGCGTGTGCTCACACACCTGTCTTCACATGCTCCTCTTACTTGTATACTTTTACACACTATATGTGGAGCCGCCATACAGGCCAGGTACCTGTCTAATGCTGAAAAATATTATTGCCAAATTATTTAAGCCTCCCATTTCTTCTTTCTGTTTTAGTCAGGCTGTTTTTAGCTAGAGTTGTATTTTCTTAGGCAGATGATGGATGGATGGGTGGACAGATGGACGGATGGACAGACAAATGGCCAAACAGATTCGACCCATCTTCTAAGGGCCTTAGAAGGGCCTCAGAGCCATCATTTCACTTTTTTTTTTTTTGGTACCAGGAATCGAACTCAGGACCTTGAGCTTGCCAGGCAGGCGCTTATGCCGCTGAGCTGTATCCCCGGCCCAGTCATTTCACATTAGTCCACCCCCACCACCCACTATGTCCAGGCAGGCTTGAAAGAGTAATTTCCCCAAAATGATGGGAAAACTGTTTGTAGGGCACAAATCTCAGCTCTTTTTTATTATTTCAGCTCCACTTGGTGATCAGGTTCCTCAAATGTCTGTAACTCAAGTCACTGTTTTTTAATGTTGTTTTGTTTTTTGCCCTAAAATTCATTCTAACAGGCAACACAAACGCCAGATGGTGAATCCAAACAAAGATGTCGTGTTTCAGGCGGGAGTCGTCTGTGGAAGCTGGCGTGGCCCCCACTATTCCGGGCCTCCACCCCCTTTTGCACTTGGTGCACAGCGAGGCCGCAGCTGTGACTTCCAAACAGCAAGCTGGACTTAGCAAATTAGTGAGACCCTGTCTCAAAATAACATAAAGGAATAGGGATGCAGCTCTGTGTAAACACCCTGGGTTCAAGCTCCAATACGGCAAGGAAAAAAGCAATCGAACAAACAAACAAAAAAAGACCCAGCAAGTCAGTCTGCTTCCAGACCCACAGCCAGGCACTCATAAAACCTGGAGGCCAGTGGGGAGACGCGGAGTGTCTGTCCACCTTGCTGCCCGGGGAGACCGAAGCTGCTTCAGCCAAAGACAGCCTTGTCATCCGTGAGCGGGAGATCAAAGGCCTGCTCTCAGAACGGACGCGGGCAGAATGGATGTCCCACAGTAAGGCTCTTCTTATGATCAGCAGCTATTTGGCTCTTAATTTGGGGTTTTGTTAAGGGCATATCCACACTTGAATAAGAGACCTGGAAGTCTGCAATTTCCTTTGAAGCCCAGCTGTTAGGACGAATTGCAACTCAGAATGATCCATATTAGCAAAGCCTTTAGCTCTATACTGGGTAAAGCCCTGGTAACTTCCGCCACTGTTTGTATAATTAGCTTTTTTTTTTTTTTTTTTTTTTTTTGTCTTTTGAGACAGGGTCTTGCTATGCAGCTCCAGCTGGCCTTGAGCTCACTTTGTAGCCCAGGCTGGTCTTGAACACGCAGGGATCCTCCTGCCTCAGCCTCCTGAGTGCTGGGATTACAGGCGTGTGCCACCACACCCAGCTCGTCTATTTTCTGTCTGTGTGGATGTGCGTTTTCTGGGCTCTATATATCTAGCAGATCAGAAACGTCGCCAGTGGAGGTGAGAGGGCCCCGCCCCCGAACCTCCTCCCTGGCATGCTCATAGGTTGTAGGGAGGCCAGAGGGTTGCAGGGTGCAGTCCCTTAAGGCCAAGGACTGCGTGTAGCTGCTGACACCACCCACCCTGGGGACTTGGAGCCTGCGACACGGGCAGAAGTCCTCTCTGGTCAGGGCACGTATCGTGTGTTTGCAGCGCGTTTCCCAGGCTCTGTGATTTAGGGTATGTTTCCTCCCTCCCTTCTTCCTCCTCCCTCCCTCCCTTCTTTTTCCCTTGGTACCCTCCCCTCCGCTCCTCTAACTCCAAGCAGGGCTCACGGTGCAGGCCGGCGCCAGGCCTCTGAGTTCGAGAAGATGCGCTCCGCGAGCTGTCCCCTCCCCTCCCCTCCCCCGGCTGCTCAGGGCCCCGTTGGTCACTTTGCACCTGGCGCGGTCGCCCGGGTAACCGGTGCCCTGCATTTTCCCCAGGCCCTGGCCGTTAGGCCTGGCACAGTGCGTCCGCCTGGTCATCCGCAGACCCAGGGACCTGGCCGGAGTCGGGGCGGAGCTCCGGGCGTTTTACCGACCGGATCGCGACCCGGACTGCAGAACTGCGCTTCAACCGCAGAACGCACAGGGCTCTCCAGCCGCCGCCACCCGTCCTCAAGCACCGGCCGGTGATCGTCTTACCGGCTCTAGAGGGCGAAGTGCACACGGGCCTGAGCGGCCTAAGCCAAGGTGTCGGCGGCCGGGGTCCCTTCTGGGAGCCGTGGGAGATTTGGTGTCTGCACGTCCCGGCTTCCCGCCCGCGGCACAGCCCGTCCAGGGCAGAGCCAGCAACCGCGACCTGCTGCGGCTGCACCGCCCTCTCCACGTGGGGCAGGAGCGGCCGGCGCGGCCACGGCCACGCGGGACCAGGGCTGCGCTGGAACTAAGGTTGCTGCTCAGATGAGCCGGCCAAGGGCGGATTTCCTGCGCCCTTCCAGCGAGCCCAGCGCTGCTGCCACAGAGCCGACCGATCCTTTTTCCCTGAATTAAGTGCGCAGTTAACTTCTTACTGTTTCCTACTGAAAGAACAAATTCTTTAAAGTCGGGTGGAAACCGGGCATGGTGGTCCACGCCTGTAATCCCAGCACTCGGGAGGCTGAGGCAGGAGGATGGCTGCAAGTTCCAGGCTAGCCTGGGCTATATAGTTAGTTCAGGAACAGCCTGAACTATATGCAAGACCCTGTCTAAAAAAATAAATAAATAAAAAAAGTCGCATGGGCACCGTTTTACTGACCACCCCATTTCATGGGACATCTCCGGTAATGGTGGGTCTTTCCAAGTGTCCCAGGAGGGTCTGTGTGTGCGTGCTGACTAGTCTGTCTTCTGAAGAGAGACATTTGGAACTGATATTGGCATTTTAACTGTATGCTCTAAAGTCGCTCTAATCATTGCATTTTTTTTTAACTTAAAAACTGATTGGAGCCAGGCATGGTGGAATACCCAAGATTCCAGCTCCTGGGGGAGGCTGAGGCAGGAAGATCCCAAGTTCAAGGCCAACCTGGGCAACTTAGCAAACTCCTGTCTCAAACAAACCCAAACAAAAGAGTTGAGGGTGTAGCTTGGTGGCAGAGGGCTTGCGGAGCATGCACAAGGTCCTGGCTTAAGGCGGGGGAACCGAGCCTTTTTATGTTTTCTCACCTTAGAGATTCAGGCTTGCTGAGAAAAAGATCAAAGAGAACAGAAAGGTACAAAGTAGAGCAAGCCATGGTGCGCATGCCTGTAGTCCCGGCTGCTCGGGTGGCGGAGGAAGGAAGATCCCTGAGCTCAGGAGTTTAAGACCAGTCTGGGCGGTACAGCAAGATCCTGACTCAAAACTACACACACACACACACACACACACACACACACACACACACACACAGTAGAGAAGAGCGCTTCTCCCAGGCTACCCCACCGCCACACCAGATAAGCACCTGCCATGGAGTTCCCATTACGTACTTCAATATTTTACATTGCCAGCCGTGGAAGCAGTGTCTACAGCTGCGGAAAAAACAAACAGAACAAAACCCAAACTAAAGCCGAGCCCTGAAGACGGGCATTTCAAAGTGGCGGGGCTGGGGGGGTGTTTCTGTACTTCCTGCTGTTCATCCGCATTTTCTCCAGTATCTGAACTGTGTGTTTTTCAGTTGTAGAATGAGCAGTTGGGTTCAGAAACTAACCTGATTCAATTATGTGTGTTCGCTGTGTTTTGTGTGTGAACCAGCAGCACATCGGAAGCGGCCAGGAAACTGCAGTGCGCCACACTGAGCTTCCGGTCTCACCTTTGTAGGGTTCTTTCCTTCTTTCTCCTCCTTCTTTTTCTTCTGTATTTACTCTTTTTTATTCCTTTTCCTCTTCCTCCTAATCTTCTCCTTCTTTTTTTTTTTTTTTTTTGAGACAGGGTCTCACTAGGTAGCCCAGGCTGCCCTTGAACTCGCTACATGCTCTACCTGACTTCAAGCTAGATCCTCCTGCCTCAGCCTTTCCAGTGCTGGGGTTATAGTTGGGCGCCATCACACCTGGCTTTTTTTCTTCCTCTTAATGTTGTTCATTATTAGCTCCCATCCTTCCTGGGAGATCTTAGAGCATGTCAAAATCCGGTCTGACCATCCGGAGACCAATCTCTCACTACCCCAGAAAAACAAACACATTTTTGACACAGTAGCAGCCTCTCCTGCAGACATCAGTTAAATGAACATTCCGTAAAAACTAGGTCAAAAGAGTCTGCTCAGGTAGCAACTAATTTGTTAAATTCTAATGGCTTAGTTTCCACATTAGTAACAGCAACCAACTTTTTTTTTTTTTTTTTTTTTGGTTTTTCTCCAGTACTGGGAACCGAACTCATGACCTTGCGCTTGCCAGGCAGGCGCTTTGCCGCTGAGCTAAATCCCCAGCCCCCCAACAGAATTTTTTTATGTTTGTTTGTTTGTTTGTTTTCCGGTAAAAGGAATCGAACTCACGACCTTACGCTTGCCAGGCAGGCGCTGTGCCACTGAGCTAAATCCCCAGCCACTAACATTATTTTTTGAGAGCCTGCTAACTTCCAAGCACCAGGATAAGAAACTTACCGCCTCATCCTGCATTGATAATTACCAAGTGACGGTGTAGTTCTGCTATGTCTCCTATGTCTGGAGGCAAGTTACTTCCCTTCTCTGTGTCTTTGTCTCCTCATCTTTAAAAGGGAGACAAGCGCAGCATCTTGTCTGTAGGGCTGTCGTGGGCTTGGATGAGCTAATACATTCAAAGCACCAAACGTGCAGACATGCATTCTGGGAATTTTCATTTAAGAATGTGCTGAGAAATAGCATTGATAGGCTGGGTGTGGTGGTGCACACCTGCAGTCCCAGCATTCAGGAGGCTGAGGCAGGAGGATCACCGTGAGTTTGAGGTCAGCCTGGGCTACAAAATAAGTTCAAGGCCAGCCTAGACTACATTGTGAGACCCTGTCTCAAAAAAAGACAAAAAAACAAAACAAAAAAAAATTGCTAAGTTAGGTAACACCATTTTGGTTGACAGGGCTCCCCCACTGTCCCTCCCCAACCAGATAAACACGGATCTGTCCAACAGGTAGATTTTCAATCAATTCCAGCCTCATTCCACCCATCCACATTAGCTCTTTAACAGTTTCCGAAACAGAAAGCCACACACTCTTTGTCGATACCCACAACAATGGATTCCTCTTTCCATGGTCAAGTTTGGGTATGTGAAAGAAGCCAATCTCTTGAGCTTTTGGGAATATTTGGTGTTTCCAGATTCACAGTTTTGCACTGTGAAATTTGAGTGGGTTCCAGACAACTGTGAATCCCAGGCCTGAGCAGCACCAGGCAGTGTCTGATCCACGCGAAGCAGGAGAAGCCTGCAGAGGGCTGCAGCCGCGCACCTGAGTTCTTTGGAAATTCCTTTGGCAAAATGAAAACAAGCTGGGTGCGGTGACTCACAGCTCTGGAAGGCTGAGGCAGGGGGATCTCAATTTCCGGCCCAGCCTGAGCAATTTAGTGACTTACCAAGACCTTGTCTCAAAATAGAAAATAAAAAATGGGCTTGGGATGTAGTTCAGCACAAAGGCGGCTCTGAGTTCAATACCAGTACTGAAAGAAAGGAAAGAAATTAACTCAGACTCTGTTATGTGTAACGCACATTTGTGGCCATAATCATGTTCCACGCTTCCAATCCTGAGTTTCAGAGCTCGTCAGAACCCTTGGAAGAAAGGCAGGGATGGGCCACCAATAACTTTTTTTTTTTTTTTTTTTTACAAGTTACCCTTTTACTCTCTGAATTCATGTCTTGTGTGTAAGACTCCACCTGGAAAGTTAACTATTCACAGTCTAGATAAAACCTGCAATTTGATCACTTGAACCAACAGAAACGCTGGGACTGGTTAATCAGCTCTGGCCCTCGCTCCCTCCTCCCTCGCCCACTTTGGAAAATAAACAGAGGATTTATGAGCAGCTGGGTGTGCCCTGCGAGCATTCTAAGGTCTTTCTTCTGACACTGCGGCTAAAACGAGGAAGACAAGGCCACAGGTGCCATCCCAGGAAGCTCAGGGAGCCGGCTCACCCTCCATTCGGGGCCTAGGAGGTGGGCGTGTGCCCTTCTCTTCAGATGAGGTGGCACCCCCGTCAGAGCAGGGAGCGCAGGAGGAAGGCGCCCCTCCTCTGTACCTGGGTGGCCCTCAAAATATTCTGGTACGTACTTGAGTCACCCTCGTTTACACTGCAACGAATATATCAGGTTCTGACACATTAATAA